GGGACATCAACAGTGGGCGTCAGCGCAGTGGAGATTGTGAAGTTGGCACAGAATTAAGCTGCATTTCTGCCTGTTTGCATGTGATCACCGTGAGTTGTGGCCCACCGGAGGGCACCTAACAGCAACAAGCTCTGATTTCAGTCTCCTCCTCACTTGCCTCCACTCTGTACTCGCTCCTTAAAAAGGGGGCTATAGACGACAATTCAGACTCAGGAAGGAGGTCCCATTGTGGGAGTTATTAAAGCGGGCCTTGTTCACAGTGTTTGGCCTATCAGCTCTGATTTCTGGGCACAGAAGAAGGATCTGAGGATTGTTTCTTGTGTCCTCCTCTCAAGAAGTGAATATAGATTGTGAATATATCCATATATATTCACAAGTGTAAATACAGATTCCTTGCTACAGTGAAGGATACTTAAGAAGTTTGGTTTCCGCAAACAGAGGACAAGGACAGTATGTCAGCTAGTTAAGCTGCCACCCCCACCTCCTATTACTGAGTGCATGGTTAAAAATAGCTGCTTGACTGTGGGACTGGCAACATGACATGATAACATGTATTTTATTTATGCTGTGGAAAAAACATAAGGATGAATGCAGAGTTTATTCACAGTTTGTAAAGCCTAGTGTTTCCAAAATTAGCATATGTAAGGTTAATTGAAAACCTACATGTCTTACTTTATTTAAACCAGAGTTCTGGTTTTGTCTTGAGAAGTCCCTCATCTAAGGAATGGGGTGTGTGTGTGTGTGTGTGTGTGTGTGTGTGTGTGTGTGTGTCCACTAAAGGCCAGCAGGTGGCAGTATTGGGCGGCAATAGTGTTCAGGGGGGGCCCCCACCCTCATTCCTGGCTGGCAGATTGGCTTGTACTGAGAACAAACTGGGATCAGCCCTGGATACTAAAACCGTGCAGAATCTTATTATTTGTGACTGACACTATTAGAAATGTGATCAGAACCATGTTCTAACCCAGCTAGGGGGAGCTGCCAGGTCCTATTGAAATTACCCAACGGTCGCTCTCTTCTGTCCTCTGATATTGCTTCCCGTTTGCAAGCTGAAATTGGTAGGAAACAAAGAATGAATCCTGGAGTTGCGTCATCTCTGGGACTTTCAAACGAAATTACCACCATCCAGGCAATATGTCTTTTGCCTTGCAATTCTTTGCTGCCAAATTAATCTCGTTCCATGCACATCACACACACACACCCCTCCTTTTCCTGCATCTTCTTGCCACGAAACGGAGCAAAATTAAAAATCCCAAGCCTTAAAATTTTGATGGGCTCTTTGATTCAGAGCTAAGATCAGCTCAAATGTAATCTTTAGCAGCCACGGCGCAGGATAAATTAGTCCTCCTGAGAAGAAAGTTGCCTTGGCGGGTTTCTGGTACCTTGTTCGCGCAGCTGAATCAATTATCTTGTTAATTGAACCTTATGAGTCATTTAAGTGATCCTATTAGTCCATACTTGATTTGTGCCTGCATTTCGCTGGCAAGTTATTAGGCTTATGTCTTGGGATTGATATTTATCAGCAACTCAAATAGGAACTATTCAAGACCAGCCTCTTAGAAGTGAGCTGTTTTTCTAAGATTTTACTAAATTTTGAAGCTATATCCAGACTTGAAACTTTTCTTTTCAGAGTAATAATTATACTCTTGTCTTTATCTTATTCTAGAACGTAAAAAAATAGGCTCAATGCAAAGGTGGGGGGTTTCAGTAAATAAAGAGGTAATTCACCAGTCAAAGACACCCAGATGGTCTTTTAATGTTCCTTTCATTGCTAAGATTTTGTGAAACATCTTTTAAAAAAGGAGTAGGTGGTATAGGAAAAATAAATGTGCTATTTTGACTTCTAGGGAGGGTAGGAGGGAAGTAATTATTTTTAGAATATGTTCCACTTGCATCCAGTTTTAGAAGAAATTGAAGAGTGTATTTTAATGTCAGCGAATCCTTTAGGAGATGAAGTCTATAAACGTGTATCTTTTGAGTTCTTGTCACTGTGGTCTTAGCAGACACATATGTAATTAAGGAGAGAGTGTGTCTGGGTGCCTCCGAGTACGTGCGTGTGTGTGCACACGCCTGTGTGCCTGTCTGTATCTTCCTACACAAATAGAGTTGGGGGTGTTGAGAGCAGGCACACATCAGCAAAGTTTCTTGCCTCAAAGTAATTTGATTTTAATTCAATTTTGCATATGAAGGGGCTGCCAAATTAAGCTTCCCTTATTCTGGGGGAACTACAGAGGCAGTGTAGTTGGAAAGTAAGAAAAGATTAAAGACACAATAGAAATCAATTAGGGAAAAATATTGAATTACACTCTTAATCTAATAGCAAGGCATTAATTGGCTAAGCTAACAGGCCCGTTTACCAAAAAATTAAGGGCAAATAGGAACTCTGCTGTAGCAAGAAGACTTGGTGTTCAGTGTTCTGCCCTGTTTTGTTAAGGATGAAATCTTTTTTTTAAAAAAAAATCCATTTCTGTAATGTAAACCATGAGGACTAAGACCACCTATGATGTAGAATAAATTTGTCTGCATCCCAAATGAATGCTTTAATGTGGAGGTTTTGTGCCATGCATATTTCCCCCATTTGCCAGTGATTTGAGTAAATCTGTCAACATCCTTCACATTCCAGTCCATATACAGGATATAAGTGGTTGGGTGTTCAAGGAATTCTTAATAAAAATTGCTTTTCACTCAGACCCAGGCATTTAAACAATGATTCTGGTTATGAAAGGGGAGTTGTCCTTATAGCCAGAGAAATTCCTTTAAATGAATTCAGAACAGCAGCATTAGGTATATAAATTTATGTATCCGTTTGGTAAAATACACAGCTACTATAATAGCAACATTAATGGTTTTAATGAAAGGGAAAAGGCGTATCACCTAGGAAGGGAATTCTTGGAGGGTTAAACAAACAAATTGACAGTATTTTCCTTCTTTTCTCTTTCACTTCCCTGAGTTAATCCTTCATACTTCTGACACCCATGTCCCACCTTCTTTTCAGTCTGTTGCCTCATGTAAGTGTGAGTTCATTCATTCTCATCTCTTCAGTGCACTCAACTTAAATGACTTCCTGCTTAAATCTTATCTCATTATAAAGCATTTGCATTGTTAGCTTTTCATTTGCACTTTGTGAAATATATTGTTCCTGTTAAGGCAGAGATAGGGTGGTAGGGATAGAATTTGAAAGCCTGGGAATTTTTAACATCTGTCTGTTCAGTTAACAGATATTTATTAAATGACCTCCGAGCAGGAAGCAGAGCTAGGTGTTACAGATCCAGCAGTGAGCAAAAGGGTTCTCTGCTCTGGCCTGGGACCAGATGGCGTCCTGAGTCTCATAGACATGACATCAAATTTAACCCTCATGACAATCCTCTAAGCAAGCTCATTTAAGCAGAATATAAACACATTGTTAGAACTCACTAGTCCTTTGAGGGAAGTCCTTGGCCTTTCTGCATCTTTGATGATGTTGTCCACGCCCTTCCTGAAGTGTTTCCCCATGTGGTTCTGTCCCACTGTGTCCTGACACATGTGCATACCTCCCCAGGCTCCAAGCAGAGCAGAGTGGGAGGTAGACTGAAGTTAGCACCAACTCAGAGGACTGGCTCCTGAGTGTTGAATAGGGCACAGTTATTAAAGTCTCCTCTCTTACTAGCTATAATACAAGCTATTTCTTGAAGATCCTGGAGCTTGAAACATGAAACAGGCCCAAGCTGTTGACTTTATCAGTCTCTCTATTGCATCTGATGTGTCAAATGCATTAATCACTGGTTACCCAATGCGGACAGAGAGTGGGGTGGAGCTCTCCGATTAAAACAAGCTTGGAAGGAGGAATGGCATCCACTTCCGTAATAGCTTGCCTCCAGAAACCCGGACTCTCAGGCCTTTCCTCCTGGTCTTTCTTAGCCTGGAAACTCCACTAAAACCTGTTCAATATCATTGCAGTACAAAAGCTTCCCCTAATAGATGGGACAGAGGCTGCATGTGAGGTATACTGTCCAATAATCAATCCTAGGCTGGCTTTCTCTATTTAAGATAAGTACTTGATATTTACTGTGTGGATTCTATCTCATCATAAAGAAGACAAAAATACCCACAACTGGACCAATAAGCAGCATGATGATAAACAGAGAAAAGAATGACATTGTCAAGGATTTCCTTCACGTAAACCTACACTCGGGGCCTCTGGAAACAGCAGTCAAGAAATCAGATGTCTGACTGCATTAGACAAATGTGCTGCAAAGGACTTCTTGAAGCCATCTCATGAACCAACTGATGGTATTTTCAGTTGCCTCTCAGGCATATGAAAGCTGGACAATTAATAAAGAATAAATGAATAAATAATGAAAAATAATTGATGCTTTTGAATTATGATATTGGCAAAGAATACGGAATATAGCATGGACTGCCAGAAATATAAATAAATCTGTCTTAGAAGACAGATAGTATAAAAGAGCCAAAATAATCCTTGGAAGCGAGGATGGTGGTATTTTCTCGCAGATACTTTGGACATATTATCAGGCAGGACCAGACCTGCAGAAGGACATCATGCTTGGTAAAGACTGAGGGCCAGGGGAAAAAATCCCCAAAAGCAATGAGGTGGATGGCCACAATGGATGCAGTAATGGCTGCGACGTAGCAACGACTGTGAGGACCAGACGGTGTTTTGTCCTGTTGTGCATAGGATTGCTGTGAGTCAGAAGTAATTCAACAGCGCCTAATGACAGTCATAATATTTGCTGGATGCAGTTACTTCTCAGTCTTCTCATCTTCATCTGATTGCATTTGCTTGCCATTCTTCATGTCCCTGTGTGGTCTACAGATAGGCCGGTGCCTGGCAGTCTATAGGCCAGCGACTTAGCCAGGGTAGAAAAGCAGGTACCAAAAGTCCTCCTGTTCCTTTTTTCTAAGTCACATTAAGACTCATAAGACACCTCCCAGGCACTAAAACTAAGGTAGCTTTTGACACCAGTGCATGGATCCTTCAGCACTGACTCTGTTTTCTTCTTCAGGATCTGCAGATAGAACAAGAAAGGAGCTCCTATAACATATCCGGTGGCTGTACTGCCCTCATTGTGATCTGTCTCTTGGGGAAGCTGTATGTGGCCAATGCTGGGGATAGCAGGTAAGCAAATGTGCATGCTTAATGGCTTCTGACGGTTACTCTAGAAAATAATATTTTATAATCTCTCAAAATAATTCTGCCTGGGATTAAGTTTAGGGAAAGACAAACCTGCATTTAAAAACATTAAAATGAGCAATCAGGTGGTTATTAAAGCCAATTCATATATTTATCTATTAATATGAGTTACCATACGTCAGAATCAAGTCTACTGAAACTAAGAACCAGTAATAGTTAAACTTTCTCATCCCCTAGCCTGTTTTTTCTATGAAAGCTTAGCAAAGAAAGGCATGATCTATGGGACGATGGGGATTGGGCGTAGAGAAAGGAGTTTGGACTCCAAACTGGGTGGGTGTTTTGGAGGGGTCCCATGGGGACACAACCAACAGGGCCTCTACAGCTGGTCCCAATTAAGTTCTGTGACTTTACACTGTCCCCTCCTGGGAGCCCAGGAATTTCTCCTTTCACACTCAAACTCTTAAAGACCACAATCTTCTCACTTCTGAGGATCAGCTGAAGGAATTTTGGCCAGCAGATTATGGTTAACCTTTACTATATCCAGGATTGTCGGAGAAGACGAGAAGACGGACATGTGTATTAACTTTTAAGTAGCAAGCTTCTTTGTACCAAGTGCAGCGAATTTAAATGATAGCCTTCATGAGCAAAGTCTTTCGTATGTGGCACACAGCTCCCTGCCTCTCTCACAGAATCTGCTGCCTATACAATGGGAGACTTTTCCTGCAGGCCAACCCTTTATTCTGAAAGTGATGTACTGGACTCCACACAGACGCCCTAGCAGGACTGTGTGATCTCTGACCGGAGTCTTGGCATGCTGTGATTCCACGTTCCCCTCCGGTTAGATCTCTCACCTCTTCTCAGAGCTGTGGCTTGCTCTAGCTTGCTCTAGAGTGTATTTCGTTCCCCTTCTCTTGTCTCCAGCTCTCATTGTTTCTGCTGCCTCTGCTGCCTGGAAGACTCATTCCCTGGAGGCAATCAAGGAAGTCACCTGATTTTGCTTCTTGTGAAGCGGGCTTGCACCTGGGGACGTTTCCCCCAGTCCTGCTTCCTTCCTCAGCTTTCCTCACTAATGACGGCAGAGAGTGAACTGCTGAGGCAGATACATTCTGGAGTTTGAAGAGTGGTGGATTTTTTTAAAAGGTCTATTTATTTTTAAAACTATATGTGCCTTTTTTCCATTCTACTCTATATAAATATCTCAAATTTCAATATAATATTTTGCCAAATAAGTTCAAGGGTGTGTCCGATGTTATGCTGATCTCTTGGCTCGGTGTAGAGTCATGGTCTTTGGAGGAGATTGGTTCCAGCTCAGATGGGTCGATCGAATGAGGGCAGAGAGGATGCTGCCAGGAGTGCTGAGGTAACCAGGAGCTGACCACTCCTGGCCTGCAGGACCAAGGGAGGAAATACTTTCAGCAAAGGAGGGGACAGGAGGCCACTATGAAAGAAATGTTGTTGTGTACCATGGAGTTGGAACCAACTCATAGCTGACCCTCTGGCAGGTTTTCAGAGGCAGTTAACCGCCCAGAAGGAGATTGCCCATCCTTCTCCCACAGAGCAGGCATTCAATAACAACAATGGTCTAGTGGATAAGGAGTTGTGCTGCCAACCCAAAGGCATGCAGTTCGAATCCACCAGCTGCTCAAAAGGAGAAAGTTGGGTCGTCTCCTCCTATGCAGTTGACAGCCTTTGAAAACCCTCTGGAGGGTCAGCTATGACTCAGTTCTCACTTAATGGCACATGAACAACAGGCAAGAGCCATAGGGAAGAATGGGAAGAGATGCTGGGATTTCTCTCATCTCGCCCTTTCCAGGCTCCCCTTTTGACGATCCCTGCTGGAAGCCAAGCTATAGGGCAGCACAAGCGATGCCATTCATAAAGATCAGCCTGTGGAGGCACCACACTGGACCCTGGCTGCGTCTCGAGAATGAGGCACATGAAAGATAACCAGTGCCGCGGCCACTGCTTTCCGCCCAGCCCTGGGCCTGCAGCAGCTTAGAAATTGGAGTCCTCAATCTTGCGGAGCTTTTAAAACACACAGGGAGAAAACCTCTGAACTGCTTGTCCTTTTCCACATCTTGAGTTTATTGGAAGATGGATGAGCTAGAAGGAAGCCATTCCTTTCTTTCTTTGTTGAGAAAGACTGAATAGTTGATTAAGCAGTCGTCCTGGTGTCTGCATTGTGACTCTGTGTCCTTTAAAGATGAGTTTGCTTTTTGAGTCCTTCTAGTAAGTGAGTAAGGGAGGCCTGGTGATAAAGCCGTAGGACGTTGCACTGCTCATTCAGGCCTGCCCCTCGCTGGCCAGATGAATCCACCAGCAGCTCCGAGAGAGACAGATGGACAGTCCCGTCCTGTGTGGTTTGCTATTGTGCACTGTAGTCAGAACCGACCCATGGCTGACCCTCCAGTGGGTTTTCAGAGGCAGTTCATTATACTAGAGGAGATTGCCCATCCTCCTTACACCTGCCGAGCCCGCTGGGAGGCAGCTCTGAGTCAGTTCCCACTTGATGGCTCTGAGTTTTGAGCTTGAGTACCTGAGTACCGTGCTCCTGCACTGCAGTAAACCCTTCCTTCCTCAGAAAAGCCTTTCTCATAACATGACCTCAGACTCAAAAGATAACTTGACTTCTGTGCCCTGATTATCTGGATGTTAGATTGTCGTTTTCATATATGCAACTTCTCTCCCAAAACACATCTTCCTTTTTCAGTGTAGTTACCTTTGAGATTCCAAACCATAGCAAATCCACCTGCCCACCCAGCCATTCAGATCCTGCATCCTAGAGGCTATGCTGGGCCCAAGCATTCATCTTGTAGGTGTGTACCTTTTCCCCTGTTTGATACCAATTTCCACACCAGACCTCAATTTTCTTAAGAGTAAAAATGAAATCTCATTGGATTGTTATTCTTAGGTGCTGTCAAGTCAAGTACGACTCATAGTGACTCTTTGAACAAAGATCTGAACTCTGTTCTATTCAGCGCCATCCTCACACTTCCTGACACACAAGAGCCCGTTGCAGCAGTTACTGTGTCAGTCCACTTGGTTGAGGGTCATTCTCTTCTTCACTAACCCTCCACCTTTCCCAATATCATGTCTTTCTTTGAGGAATAGCCCCTTCTACCAACATAACCAAAGTATGTAAGGTAAAGCCTCATCATTCTTGCTTCCAAAGAGCACTCTGGCTGCACCCTTTGTAAGACATATCTGTTCTCTGGCCATCGATGGGATGTTTAGTGCTCCTCTCCAACAACACAGCTCAAAGCCATCAATTCTTCTGTCATTTTTATTCATTGTCCAGCTCTCAGATGCATAGCAAGTGATCATGGCCTGAATCAGATGGTCCTTAGTCCTCAAACTGGCATCATTACTCCTCAATAATTTGGGGAGGTCCCTAACTACAGACTTTCCCAGTGCAGTGTGTCTCCTTAATCCCTGAATGCTGGTACCAAGGTTGTTAATTGTGGATCCAAGCAAGATGAAACTGTGACAGTTTTAATCTCCTCTCCATTCATCATGATATTTGCCTATCCATCCAGAAATAAGAGTCTTTGTTTTCTTGACATTGAGATGCAATCCATACCAAAGGCTACATTCCTTGATCTTCTGGAACAAGTGCTTCAATTCCTCCTCACTTTCAGCAAACAAGATTGTGTCATCTACATAACACAGGTTATTGATGAGTCTCCCTTCAGTCCTGATCCCACACTCCTTTTCATAGATTCTAGCTTCTCAGATAATTTGCTTAACATAAAGATTAAATGAGTATGGAAAGAGAATACAACCCTGACACACTAATAGAATTAGATAATGTAATTAGACTTGATAATTACTAACATTTCCATCATTTTAAAGATGATTCTATAGAGAAACTGTATCTCAAGACGTTTATAAAGTAAATTAGACCCATCGCACACTGACTCCAGATATTAATATGGGTTTTTTTTTAACTGACCATTTGATTTCTTGTTGTCAGTTTTTAGATCATGTCATAGTAGAAACCAAAGAGCAGTTTGTTGGTATGTGTATAGACTTTCCAAAGAGTGATCCTTAGAGGCAAGAAAGGAGAGAATTCATCTCACAATACTGTGAGCACATTGTCAGGAGGCGCCAAGCCTTGAAAAAGACGTTGGTAGAAGATCAGTGAAAAGGCAGAGCCTCGATGCCACATTGACGCAACAGTGGGCTCGAGCACGGCTAGGTCATGGAGATGGCCGAGGATAGGGCAAGGATTAGGTCGGTTGTTCATGTGGTCACCAGGCATCCTAGCTGACTAGATGCCACCTAACAACATCCAAAGGATAACTGATAGGACACTTACAATCAGAATGCTGCTCTCAGCTTTTGTATGAACAATAGATTGTCGGTATCATCTTATATGAGGTCTTTACATAGCTTACATATTAGTGATTTATTATGAATACATGAGTTTGCTAACATGGCCAGTTATTCCCAAGAAACACCATCTGGGAATATCCCTGAGGAAACCAAAGTCCATTCTCTCGCATATGAACAAGCAGTTATGAAGCTGAAGACTCAATTTAAACACATTATTAAAGTTGACAGAAGAGTCCAGCAACAGAGCCCTGATTAATTAAGGGCTAATTTTTCTTCTTTACTACCTATATTGGCTACTGAATGTTTACATTCATTCTTGACAGTTTTGAAAATTAAAGTAAATCTTCACTTGGGAAAATAGAAGCTTTGCACTGGCCTGGTTTGGAAGCAAATGGTAGTATCATAGAGCCACAACTGTCGGGTGTGCAAATAAAATCAATTAAAGTTTCCTCGGGGATAGTCCATAAAGTGTCCATTGTCACATTGCACTGCCAAAAAAAGGATACACAATGTCAGAAGGATGAACACTCTCCTCCTATGCGATTAATAGCCTCTGAAAACCCGCCAGTGTTAGCTATGGTTCAGTTCCGACTTCTGGACTCTACCTTACACAACATTCATTTAAAAGGAGGGAGGGGAAAGGATACACA